AAGCAAAGCAAAGAAAAAAAAATCACCATAAAATCATTCAACCTCCTGGGTTGCATTTGAAGGGTATCAAGAAATGATTGCAGAAAACAGAGTTCTGCAAACATTTTCAGTGGAAATGGAGGAGTTTGAATTCTTAGCAATATTTTATTTAAGCTAGTTTATTTTTTATATTTTGTATCTGTTGATATTTGTACTTGCCAGACTGATTTAGAAGCCCAGTATTTAAAATCTACTGCTAGTCTGAGGCAGGTCTTTGTGACCAGCAAAGCTGACAGGTGAATGAATCTAACAACACATGGGATGTTATCAAACTGGTGTTTAAAGGGACTTTGGTGCAAGCTGATGGCATCTATCTTAACAGTGAGTTAAGCATATTTCATATTTTAACTGCTACGAAATGCTGTCAATCTCATTCAAAACTGTGTTTGTCCCCTTATATATGTTTTTCTTACAGACAATATAAGGGTGAGCAGTGAAATAAGTGCAGTCACAAGTGTAATGCACCATGGAAAATTCAAATTGAGGAACCCTGCTTTAATCTCATACATATTACTGGTATTGGTGTATACACTGACTGCAATACCAGTAAGTTTATATAGCTCAGGATGATTTTTAAAATGCCTACCTCCACTTAATAGGGAGGAAAAGATGACTGATCACATTAGATGAAGGTATTTATGCATTTCTGTATCATAGGCATGCCTACATTAGAATTTGGCATAAGCTAACTGCCTGTCAACCAACATGCACATAAAGTCCTGTTCACTTTAGATAAAGCCTATTCCATCAACAAGAAGATCAGGGAACTGAGACCTGCACGGGGAGAGCCAGAGAGAACAAAATGGCTTTTCTCGATCTGTTTATCCAATGATACAGAGCATCACTGAAGCTATTACATTTGATTCTTGGAGATCCATCACTTACCAACCTCAGTTTCAACCCCTTCACACAACTATCAGCCCTACAGGCCACCAGGATGACCCCAGCATGGCACTGCATGGCCACATTACTCAAAATCTCCCACCTGGATGCTATGCTACCTGCAGCCAAAGCTGGTGCTGAACCTCAGGCAGGGACATGCCCTCCGCACACCACCCTCTGTAGCTCTAAATTGGTCATCAAAATCATGTTCCTCAGCCTAGGAGTAGCTTTGGTATTCAAAATACAAGATCTCACTGCCTACTTCTTGGCACCCAACTCTGTGCTTCTTCTGTGTCTAACTGGATTCAACTCATAGTTCAGATTTTCACTTAGTTACAGCCCTTGGGGGACTTGTTTTTCTCTTCTCCCCAGTCACCTGTTAGTAAGACGGATGGTGAAACTTCTCAACTTGAAGACATCTGCCCTTTGTGAGATTTGCTTGAAGTTGGCCAATGGCTTCAAAAGTTTTGGAGAGGTTCAAGACCACTAAAGCACATGTGATTCCCCAGGAAACCCTACCAAAAAACAGCATTGCTGATTCAGTGTTCAGGGGATCCCGGTACAAACATATTAACAAAGTTTCAGGCCAGTCTGTCAAATGCTGAACACCGAGTGTCGAAAGCTTCGATTTGCAGGAAACGTAGTAGAAACTGTATCCAAAGCAGGTCTATATAATTTAGCATTTTTATGATGGTGAATTAATAACCTACCAAACACACACACATCTACAAGATACAAACTTCTACCTCCTTCTGAAGTATTTACTGAGATGCTCTTGCAAGTATGCATTTAATCTAACAGCTAAAACAAGTTGCAAATGCAGAATCAAAAATCCAAGCATCTTTATTCCAGAAAATTTCAACTTAACAATAGGAGGAAGTCAAGTGTATTTCTAGTCAAGTCGAGTAAATCTTTGCACTGAGATCTGTAAAGAGGCAGAGCCATAGCTGCTGATGAGGGGAACTCAGCTTCACTCGATCATCACTCCTGTGATGTTTCACACAGGAATGCAGCTGGCACCTATAAGAGGTTCAGAACGCTTGAACCACCTCTTAAAATCATATATCCCAGTTGTCCTCTGCAGTAGGATGCCTGGATTACTGTGTTCTTCCAAGTTATGTCACCCATCATCTGCACCTTCACCACGCAGCTGCCCAGGGAATCAGGGTCCTCCTGCGGGCACCTACTGCAGCCCTGTTCAGAGCAAGGGCTCTGGTGACAAGGACGGAGCCCAAGATGACACTCGCAGTGGGGGGAACATTCCCAGGTTCCTCCCCCTACTCCCAGCATGTGTTTTATCCACAGCAAAGTTCACCCAATTATAGTGAAGTCACACGTGAAGGTGAAAGAGGAAACAAGTTAACAGGTGGCATTTGGAGAGAACAGCAAGACGTGCTTAGATCATTTCCCAACATAAGGAGTTTAAGAGTATCTTAAACTCGTGCCAGAGAAACTAGCTATGTTATTAAGCACAAAAATCAAAACTAATAAACGATGTCAAAGAGCCCCACACAAGTGTCTCTCCAACACCTGGGAAGTGCTGTGTAAACATTCACTTCATACAAACTGTCCCCATCCACCCGCTATACCCTGATCAGACACACACACACACTACATCCACGAGTTCAAAAACCCATCTCTCAACGTGGAAAACGATTAGTAATGATTTCAAATTTCACATCTCTGTCAGTCTTCATACATACTTTTCCACTTAGTTTAGTGAAATACTGGAACAATTTCAAGGACAAAAGTTAAAACAGTGCTTTTAAGCATTTTAAAGGAAAATCAGAGTCACTAAATGCATTTGCTTTGTTTAGTTAACTGCCAAGTAATAAAAACTTGTGGCTATAAGCTTTATATTTACTGAAATACAGACTATTCACCAATAAAACTAATATAATAGTTTTATGAGTCAAGTTAAGGAGGCATTTGGCTAGTTACTTTTCTACTGCAGAGGCCAGTTGAAGATGAATCAAGAAGAAGTACAAGAGTAACTAGATAGTGATCCTTCCCTCGATACGTTTCTACTTCTGACAAGCAGTAGCTCAAGAAGCAGCTTAGCCACAGCAGCCTTTCTCTCCCCATCCCTCCAAAGCCGTCCTCAGAGGGACCCAATTTCTTCAGAAATCCATGTGTACCTTTAGCCTTCACAATGCCTACAGGCAATGGCAAATTGGAGGGTTTTAAGGGAACCCAATTGAAATACATGGGAATTTTATCACCGACTTCACTGCAGCTTCACTGCCTTTTCCTCCCAGGCTAACAGATAGAGATGTCAGACTGTTATTTCTTTCTTTTGCATGAGATAAATCATCCCACGAGCGTGTGTCACAGCTGCGCTCGTATCCCGCAGCCAAGGAAAACATGGCTACTCCACTATTATCAGGGACTGTTCACCATCATTCCATCTACTCTCTTTATAAAAACGCACCAACACAGATTGGTATTAATAAAGGAAACATTTAGGGTAAACAAGAGCCACAACTGCCAAGAAAGAAGCAGTGAGATGGGAAGAGCAGAGAGGAGGCTCACGTCAAACGCATCTTGCGAATTACATCCATTTAACATCAACCTGAGGGTTGCTTCTTCATTTAGGATCTTCCCCACATCCTCCCATTTTCCCTGTGTTCTCCACCCAGGTGCTCTGTGCACCCTATCCTAACACCTGTGTCCAACCCAAGCTATTCAGTGCCACACACAGAGTCAGCCACAGACTCACTGATACGAGCCCATTTCAGGAAAAAAAAAAAAAAAAAAAAAAGAGAGAGAGAGAGAAAAAAAAGGTGTTCAAACCTCCCCCTTGCCTGCAGAGACTAAAACTTCCACCTCCCAGTAACAGTTTTCAGTTTAACCCAGCCATTTTTCCAGGCTGAACACAGCCAGCAAAGCAGTCAGGCAGCAGGACGGCTCCATCAGGAACTCCTTGCAGCTCCTGTAATTCTCCAATTCCAACTTGTAATTCTCCAATTCCAAAGGCTATTTGGTTCCCCTGATTTCAAAGAGCATGGCTTGCAGAGCCCATCCTCAGGCCCCTACTCACACGCATCATCATCATCTGGGGGACATTTTAGGACACTGTCCTAATAAACTTAGTACTTCATTAAAAGAATAGATTCTCATAGTCAGTGTTGTTTTTCACACCTTTCTTCCTTTTCTTCGCTGTTACTAATGTAAGTAAATACATAAAATGCTGGGGAGGGGGGGAAGGTAGCTAATTGACTTGGTCATGGCATTTACTGTTAATTATCACAGTGAGAACTTAAGCAGAATTTGCCATTAGTTTAGTCTAGCTTAGACATTCCAAGGAGGATTATTTGTTAAAACACAGTCTATTTTGCCACGCGGTGATGCCTTCCTTCCGTGCACAGAAATTTACCTTACAGAGGCCACACAACGAAACCTTGCAAGCAACAACTTCCCAAGCTGATCAGCACAACCTTTCTGACTACACCGGCACTGCGTTTTTCTTTCCAAGTGCAGGCAAGGGCTAAAATAAGACCCTCCATCTTCCGCAGGGAAGCCCAGGAGCAGAAGTTTCGCGGCCCACGGGCCCGCTGCGGTGCAAAGCGGCGAGCCAAAGGCAAGGGAAGGAGCAAACAACCAGCGCGAGGCCGCTTGCGCGTCGCACTCGCGGCACAATGCGCAGGACCTTCAAACGCGCGCGGCGGTAACGGGAAGGTTTCCTTCCCCCCTCTGTCTCAGCGTAGCGCGAGTTTTTCAAAGCCCTGAGTAAAATAAGCGGAGGCATTTCCTGTAGGTATTTGATTAATTATTAAGCAGATGCTGAGCGCTGTGGTCACCAGCACTTTCTACCGTGCCTGCGGGAAGGTGGTTTCAGCAAGCGGCTGGTGTGCTGCACTAACGCCCTGTTACACCTCTCTTGGCCGTCCTGCCGCTACTAAACTCGGGAGGAAAAATCCTGGAGAAGCCAGAATTCATTCTCCTATGCAAAGCCAAGCATTGCAGCCTACCTCTTCTTTGTTGTGGTACAGAATTACTGTTACTGCTACAAGGTAAAGAGCAGTATTGGGCTTAATTATGCGTATAGCAGAAAAACAAAACAAAAAAAAACCCCAAACCTTCAGGAACTTCCCCAGCAGGCGCCACCACATCCACTAACTTCATGTGCTAGACTTTCCCTGCCATCTAATCTTTTTCTGGGGGTTGTTATTATTTAATTAATCTGCAATTTTACATGTTGCCTTCCCAAGGTTAAAAGAAAGGTAAATACTGCCAAGATATTTAATGACATCAGCGAGCATAACCATGAGATAAACGTGAGGTCTGAAGATTAACCGAATGTCATTCTGTTTACAGGATCGCAGGTTTGTAGAGAAAACTTTTAAGATTAGACCATTGGGAAAGTTATATAACAACTGTAAATGTTTCAGTGTGTTTTGTCTGTTTAAGGTCTCAGCCAGAAAGAGAAAGCTTGAGCGCAAAAAATTCTCTGACTTAACTCTGCCTTTCCACGTGCACAAAAATGACCAAACGCTGAACATTTGTCACTGCAGCGAGAAAGCCGCTCTGGGGCTCCACCTCCTCCTGACAGTGGGAAAGTGTAGATGCGCTGGCGTGTTTTGTTGGGTACCAAACAACCCGCTTACAAAACTACTTCCTGTGCACCAAGATATATTTAGCCCCTAAACCCGTAAAACTGTCACAGGCAGCCACAAGTACACCTATAGCCATTAAAAAAGATATATATGGACTTGAGAATCAAACGGACGTTACCTCTTCGTACCTGTCAGAGAAAAATCTTTGAACTGTCTTGTTCAAAAGGGAATCAGCTGCCCCATCCCCGCTCCGCTGGCCCCCAAACTCAGCCCCTGCTGCCCCCCACCCTGCACAAGCCCGAGTGCCCTGGAGCAGGGGCGCAGGGGGCCGCAGAACTGCAGGACGAGCCCGACCCCAAGGCAGGACAAACCGTCCCCAAGGCAGGACGAGCCCGTCCCCAGCCCGGCCCGGCGCTCAGAAACGCACCTCGCTGTCCTCCGCGGCCTTCGCAGCTCCAGGCAGCTCTCCCTGCTTCTACTGCGTCTTCAGATCGAGATGTAGATAAATTCCCCATCCATTGATATTGTTAAAAAACAGAGGGGGGGGAGGAAAAAAAAAAAAAAAAAAAAAAACACGGGACAATAACCAGCAAATTTATTGCTTTACAAATGCGAGCTCTCCGCTGTCCCAAGCCAGTGTTATGTCTTGATGTAAACCAAAGCACATGCAGAGCGAGGACGTGCGCACGCAGCAGCTTATCATCTCTGTCATCTGCTCCTAATGACAGCTGACAAACCGGCCGCACTAATGCTTTCCTAACTGCTGATCAGGGAGATCCCCCTTTGACGAGCCAGCATGGTGGAGCGCTCGAAAATTCCTCCTGCTTCGGCTCTGCCGCCGCCGCTGCAAAAAGCGGTTTCCTTTTCATTGCGATTTTCTGCAGTCACGTGGCGCGGGGCTGCATGAGCAGCGCTGCGCTGTGCAGCTCCCCTCCCTCGGGATTAACTCCTCCCCGCACGGAAGCCGCTCGCAAGCGCGAGAGGACGGACGAGCCTGTGTCGCAGCCTCCAGCCTGACGCCTTCCTTTTTTTCTTTTTGATACACAGAATTTGTCTTGCTCTAACTCATTACCCTGATAAACATCCTAAGCATTTTTTTAAACATAAACATATCCAGCGAGGAAACCTTCCTAAATTTCAACTTCAGTCCTCCCCGCACGGAAGCCGCTCGCAAGCGCGAGAGGACGGACGAGCCTGTGTCGCAGCCTCCAGCCTGACGCCTTCCTTTTTTTCTTTTTGATACACAGAATTTGTCTTGCTCTAACTCATTACCCTGATAAACATCCTAAGCATTTTTTTAAACATAAACATATCCAGCGAGGAAACCTTCCTAAATTTCAACTTCAGCATTTCCTGCCTTCCTGATACCAGGCTGTCCCGTCCCAGGAATCTTCCTTGTTTTAACAGGTATAGATAGCATAGACTCAAAGACACTGCTCTCTCCTACCATGACTGAAGTATTTCACAGTCCAAAAACAGAACAAGCCCTGGCATCCCATCTCCCTGTAAACCGCAGGCAGGAGGTGAAGAAAACTGATTTATCGCCCCAGGTTTGTCCACCTTCCCCCCTGCGCAGCGAGGAAAGCGCAGAGCAGCACAACTTTTCACCTGACCATGTTGCAGCTTGCTAAGTGTTGAAGAAAGCTCTGGATGAAACATCATCAAATAGTTTTGAAGCCCACAAAACAACTGTTTACACAGATTTCCACACTTTCTTTCCAAAGCTAGAGGGGGAAGACTTTTCTTTTTCTTTCTTTTCCTACAGTACTTCCCTTATTCCCTGTTGTACCAGATTATTCTCCTTAAAGACAGGCATGGTTGTTCCTCCAGAAACTGCACATCCTATAGACTGTGGTTGCACTCACAGGAAAATAACGTGGCCTCTCCTGTCCACCTCTCTTCCTGGGGACAACCTGACCAGGACACAGCTCCCAAATGGGGCTCCTGGACCAGGACACAGCTCTCGAGCGGGGCTCCAGGGAACACTGCGCCCGGGAGCAGGGATTGCTGCGGCTCCGTTTGCTGCAGCAGCCAAGGGGAGCCCTTCGCGCAGCTCCTACCCTCCTGCCTTCTCCATGCCTGAGAGATCAGCCGTGAGAAAGACCCCGACCGGATCCAGGAGGAAACAACCTGGTTCCACAAGAAGGCTAAATTACAGACCAGATTAACGAGGCAAACAGATAAACACACACGCTAATGGGATATTAATATTGGTGGTGCTTTTTCAGGATGCCTTTGCATTCCAAGATATGACACCATATAAGGTGAAATGATCATTTTGGGGGATAAATATAACTCAAGTTATGAATATATATATGAATTCTATATTATATGTAGAATAAGGAACTTCTGAGAAATCTTAGCTGTATTTTATTCAAATAAATAATCTTATTATTTTCCTATATTTATTCCTTAACTAAAGGAAGAAGCGTCAAACATACTGGTTCAATTGGCAAAGGATTAGCAAATATGCAAGAAACCTGAAAACTTTTGATATGCAAGAACACAGATTAAGAGATAAGCACTGCAAATAAATTGAGTTTTCACGAGAACACACACACATATGCACACACACAAAATATATTTCACCGGTGAAGGATAAACTCAAGGAAAATGAAACCAAAAACAAACAAACAAAAAATAAGGAAGAGATCAGTCGGATACTAGAGCTAGACCTGTACTGCTGATATTTTCAGGAAATATAAGAAGAAAACGTCAAAGACGATACAATTTGGTGAAAACGAGCACGATAATTCCATGCTGAGATTTAGGGAAGGAATTATGTGCAAATAAAAGGGAAAGACCAGAAAGAACCACTATAGGAATAAAATAAGAATTAAAGATTGGTAGAAGTAAAAGCATATATAAATATTACTTTAAAAGACTGCTTACTGAGGAAGAGAGTATGGATAAAAGGAATGGAGAAGAAGGAATGGGCTACTGCAGTGTATCGCCTGACTAGACAGAAAGGAAAGGAAGACGTGAGTGAATAATAATCCTGCTTGAATAACAGTTTTTCAAACTCACATAAACAAGGAAACATGCAACTGCAAAGGAGGAAAAGCTCTTTGGTTTGATCAAGCCACCAAATAAATGCTTCCAAAGGAAATGACAGAATCAGCATCTCCTTTTAAATACAGTTTTATAGGAATACCACAAGTATTTGCGGATGAGCAGGTGACCTTTACAATAAACATGGTACAAAACAATCTTCTTACTGAGCAGAGGAGGCCCATCTAAAGTTTTCTCTATGAAACACATTTCATTAACATTTTGTTCTGTTGCCCACAGAAGTGGTTTACAGACACAGAAGAGCAGGCCCTCCACTCAAGCATTTACAATTTATTTTTTAACACGCTAAAATAAATGAAACTGGCAAGCAGAAAACTGCTCTCATTCTATGTAACTTTTGCATTTGTGATTTTTTTTCTCTTAATACGCAAGCAAGAGTGAACAGGAGGGAATACTGACAAACTCGCTGGCATCCTGTTTGCCCTTCTAGCACCCACTAGCCGACTGGGGAAGCAGTCTCCAAATGCCTCATGATTTTCTTAGACTGTTCTCTCCTTGTCTGTCACAAATCCTGGAGAGCAAGAGAACAGCTCCACCTTCATAAACCATCTATTCCTCTCAACAAAGAGTACAGAAAAGGCTACAGTTACTTCCAGGTACAGTGATGGTGATTGCTGACATTGCAGAATATCAAGGCACTTAAGACCATGGAGCAGTCTCTGTAGGCTTTAATAAAGACGAGAGCCCACTGACTTTTAAGAAAGCAGCCCAGCCTGTGTTAAGTACTGCTTGTGGGAAAGCCTGTAAGGGCAAAGCCCTTTATCAGCACAGAAATCCGTGCAAACAGATGTTACCAGAAGTGACTTCCAAGAGGCACAGTACACACACCTCACTGTCCAAGTCAGGAATACCAGTGACAGGGCAATGATCTTTCACACACGAAATTTCAATAAATGAAGCAACTAATATACTGCTCACATATGTTTAGGTTGATTTCTAACTACTGCTTTTGAACATTAATATAGATGTGAGGATTTTCAGGTAAAAAACAGCAACCTGTTGATTCACATGCCAATGACACAAATATTTTGCTGCTTCAGGAATTTCTAATCCAGACTAATTGGAAGTGGAATCTTCTTTTTCCTGTCACAAGCAGAGGAAAAACAAATAGGAAACTATAAATAATTCTAGCTCTTCTCATGTTTACACCTGGTTTTGGAGGAGATAACACCACAAACTCCTGCTAGCATCCATACCACTGTACTTCACCGGAATTTCAAGTGCTCAGCATTTCTCCTAGCCAGTCTCTGCTGGCAACACGTATACCTAGGATATATACATACACCTTTGGTAACATAATACAACACACCTTGCCACTGCTCTTAGAAAGAGGATGAGGAGAGGAGCGCAGCCTCTGATACTGTTGCTAACTCTGATACTACAGATAGCACTGCTAACTTCTCTTTATATATGAAAATGTCCCTGCTTCACCAACACAGCTCGGCGGCCTCCGAGTGCTGTGCT